TTAATTCAGATTGTGTCATTTTACATTGTTTCAACTAAAGATATGCGTGACGTATTTGGCTCGCCATCTACGGGATTGTTAGCGGTCAAATGTGCGTAAGAAAAGTTAATGGGTTTATTATAAATGTGGGGTAATTTAAATCAAATAAAATTACATGAATCATCGTTATGATAACATCTAATATCACAAATCTAGTCGTGATTACAAATGAGTTTAACGCGAAAATTATTGATTATTCTTCAACTTGATCATTGAAACGAAGAACTGAAAAAAGTTTGCTATGCATAAATTAAAATATCTAACATTAGCAAGAGATCCACGGTATTTAATGAGTTTTAAATGTCTTGGTGTCAATATTACAAGCAGCAGGAACCTCCAAGAAAAACTGTGTAACATAAAATGGCACAACAAGTATATGTCCTTAGAAAACAACATCCGGTTATTCGAGAACTGCGTAAGTCCTATTAATGAATCCTTAAAACAGCAAAGATGAAGACGATAAGGTCATTAATAAGATACACTTTATAGGATAATAAGAGAAGTGAGTATATCAAAGAGATATACGATATATAGGACATTTTGAGATGAATTTGCAAAAAATATGGTAATGGAGAGACAATGTTGAATGTATAAAAGTCTCAAGACTAGCAAGGATAGTCAAAGATGGACTATTCCAAGTGCAAACTGACTCCACGGAAGACTGCCTATACAATAATATGAAAGCTGGAGCTCATCTTATATAAGTCTAAACGCAGCACTTTTCCACTTAATCATTAGTGAAATAATAACTGACGTGGAAAGACTTGGAAAAGGTTATCAGGTGGGAAACGAAGAGCTGAAAAAGTTTGCTATGCGGAGTATGCTATCTTGTTATAGGCGGATATAGATAACATTCAGGAGATGTTGTGCCAATTCGATAAAGGAGGAAAAAAATTTGACATGAACATCTCGGTGTAAAAATCAAAATCTCTAGCGATAGCTAGAGAACCAATAATAAGATAAGTGATAGTCAATATTACGCGTTGCATGAACCTCCAAGAAGAAATTATAGCTCAAATAATGAAAGGAGTTTTAATTTTAAGTTATCTGTGAAACATAAAATGGCACAACAAGTATATGTCTCTAAAAAGCGAGGTTCGGATATATAAAAACTGTCTAAGATCTGTTAATATCAATAAGATAATAAAAGAAGTAAAGATTTCATAGAGATATGCGAAGTGTACTGGATACTTTGAGATGGAGCCAAAAAAGGAGGGGAATGGAGACACCATGTTGAATGTATGAAAGCTACCAGACTACCAAAGATGGAGCCCTAAGGGCAAACAGAGCTTGATTTATATAAGACGAAGCCCAACACTCTTCCACTTGATCATTGAAATCATTGAAAACGTGGAAGAAGTTAGCAAAAATGATGTCAAAACAACACAATCCAACCATAAGGACGTGATATCATCGTAATAGCTTTTTACCGTTCTTTAGTAAGATATTTGGAAGAATAAATATATATATATTTCCAATACAATACAATTGCAGTACAAATACAAATACAGCATTAGCACAAAAGATGCAAGAACAGATAAAGATGTGGTTCAACTTGCACCAAATGAAAAAAAAGTGTATAAATGTATATGTATTTACGCATAAACACAATAAACTGAGTAGGTAATAATAATTTACTCTGCAACACTGCTGATTTAGACTTTGCAACAGAGCCAGGATATCTCATAAAATCAGGGACCACAATCCAAATTCTAGCTACTTGGTACGAAAATAACTGACTATATTTCGACAATTTGTGGCTAGGAATGGTAACACAAAAACTATGTTAGAGAACTTAGTTAGAGATGATAAACTATATTTTATTGACTAAATAAGGAGGTTTACCATAAACTAACACAAAATACAACAAAGTAAAGTAATCTATGATGATTCTCTGTCTCATCTTTAGCCACCCCCAAGTCATAAGCTTCCCTGAGATATGATTTCTGCGCCTGATGCCGTAAATAAAACGTATGCAGGAGTTTTGGACAACCTGTAATAATTAAAATGGAGAGAACTAATGAGTTACAAAGATGTCGTTTAAATTCATAAGAAAGATTACATCTACTACTATAAAGCCCCATTACATCATTAGAGAAAGATAGCGTTGGTGTTCATCAATCACCAAACCAAGTCTCTTGACAGAAGTTGAAATATTAACGACTGGTTTAAAATATTAATATTAATTTCATTTCTGTCACCATGTAACCCACATAATGTGTCCATGCTGCAGATCTAACGTCAGCCAAATTTCAAACGCATAATACCAAACTACCAATTTAGTATGTCATAAACTTTCGAAAAGCTCTAACATAATGGCTTTATGGTCTTTATATCCCTAAGTCTTTAGCAAGTACGAGGTGTAGTTCGGCAGGGTATGTATATCGTAGATAATTGCATTATTTCCTTTACATTAAGATGTTCTTCACCCTATTAAAACATAAATAAAATATTTAAGGGAACATATCTGGTAGTGATGGAACGGATAGTGATTTTGCGAAAAGCCGGATTCCATACTCATATTCCCAGAACTGGATTTTATACTAATTTTTAAAACTTAATCGGCGAAAATTGTAAAATTCGAAAAAATTGACGATCATTTCAAAAATTTATTTCTCAAGAACTGAAAGAGATTTTTCGAAACGGCTATTTGCATTAAAAAGAGGATACTTTAATTAATAATTGGTGATATTTCCACAATGATCCTTCAAGAAATGAATTTTATAGCGAATTTTGAAAGTTATCGATGAAAATAGCAACATCGAAAATTTTATCAAAACTTAAAATATTGTTTTTTCAAAAACTAAAAGTTATTTTTCAAAACATGTTAGTTCATTGGAAAGAGGATGCTGTTATTGACACGTTGGGAAATTTTTTGATACTCATATTCCAAGAAATTGATTTTATACGAATTTTTAAAACTTAATCGGCGAAAATTACAAAATTCGAAAAAATTGTCGATCATTTCAAAAATTAATTTCTCAGGAACTGATAGTGATTTTTCGAAACGGGTTTTTGCATTAAAAAGAGGATACTTTCATTAATAATTGGTGATATTTCCACAAGAATACTTCAAGAAATTAATTTTATAGGGAATTTTGAAAATTATCAATGAAAATTGCAAAATCGAAAATTTTATCAAAACTTCAAATATTGTTTTCTCAAAAACTAAGTTATTTTTCAAAACGTGTTAGTTCATTGGAAAGAGGATGCTCTTATTAACACTTTGGGAAATTTTCATACTCATATTCCAAGAAATTGATTTTATACGAATTTTTAAAACTTAATCGGCGAGAATTGCAAAATTCGAAAAAATTGTCGATCATTTCAAAAATTAATTTCTGAAGAACTGAAAGTGATTTTTCAAAAAGGCTATTTACATTAAAAAGAGGATACTTTAATTAAGTCTGAAAAAACGTCATAATGTGTCCATCATTTCAAAAATGTTTTCTACAGCTTATCGTCATACCTCTCTTTCTTTAACCACAATTTCAGAAACTTTGACTATGAGTTCTTTTGAACATTTTTCGTTCTCCAATTTATAACATTACCAAAATGTAAATAAATGTTTAGGTTAGTTTAAGTTCTTATGCAAAATATAAAAACCCGATTCTTTTCCACAAGTTTCTCCATACTCAATCACAAATTACATAATTTAAGTTTAACATAGTTTATTTATTTATTTTTTTTTTGAGAACATAGAAAGCGATATCTATTAATTCATTTTAGACATAAACTGTTAAAGTAAGTAAACTTTGCATTTCCGTGACAGAATTCAAAGTAATCTTGCAACACAAATCTTAATAAGTCCACAAAGTTTCCTTACTGACTCAGATTCCGTTCCATGAAGACTGAAATCGCCAGTTTATTGAAATTGATGTTTTGAATGACATTCTTATCACAATTTCGAAAATTTGAAGAGATCTGAATATAAATTAATTAAAACACTTTTTGCATTTTAACGATGTAATTAAATTTTGTTACTTTCTACTACTAATTATCCTAATCTTCAGGAAAAAACGTGAAATTATTGTCCCCGAAACTAGTAGAAATTAATAAAATTAAACAAACATAATTAAATTATTTTATAAATACCATATAAAGTTTATGGTATTTATGTAGTTTTATTTTCAGTAATTAGGTAATTTTTGTTAAGCCCTCGAAACTTTATTTTTACAAGTTGCTTTCATTTTATCTAATTTATTTCTAATATCTAATTATTTTATTAACTTATCAGAATGAGAAAACATTTAAATGAAATAGATGAATGTTATTACATAATCTCTCTCCAAGATTTAGCAATGTCTCATTCATTGATATTGACAGTTTGAGTAACCGTCCTTTGATGCTTCCAGACAGCGGTAATTCTCTTATTTGCCACGAAATTAATGCAGTATTAAGATTATCCTATATCGGGTAAATGCTTCTAGGATAATAAGTCTCTTGGAAACCGAGTCGAAATTGAGATTTTCTCAGAATTAGCAAAGATATAGATTATTTCTATGCAATATTGGGTTTCTCCAAATAGATTAGTCTCTTCCAATACTTTTTGAATTTGATTGAATGAATATGATTGAAGTTCTAATAGAACACGGTTTTTTCATAATCGAGTAAAAATTTTCGATATCACTAAAATATGGTATATAATGATATATTTGAGGTTATCTCAATAGTTTATGGTTATATCAAAAAATGTTTCAAATAATATTTGTTTAGAATTAAATTAGAAATGATTTTTGTTTGAAAATTTTTTAAAAATTTCTGCTAGATAACGCTGCTTATTAGTATGATGTTATTTTAATTTCCCACTGAATAGTATGGTACTAAAAATGAATACTAAAACATGATTTTTTTCGAAATTTTGTTTTATTTCTAACTAATTTGACACAGTTAAAATACTTAAGAATAAGATATGATTAATAGTAATGAGTAATTTTTAATTAAAGAAAAAATTAACTTACTTGCACCATTTTTGTGTAAATAAAAAGAAAGTTTCATCTTGAAACCACGACAAAAAACGTATTAACACTTTATAAAAAACTAAAAATACTTTTGATTCTTGAGAGAGATATTTGAAGTCTCCTTTATCTGATTTGTATTGATTAAATGCAAAAGCGATCACCGATTTTAAACACGGCTCCCGTTGAGAGATCCAAAAAGGTGGGGTGCGGATCGGACGTCACTTTGCTTCCTCCCCACTTCCTTTCCGTCCGTAAATTTGAAACGTACTTGAATTATTTATTGTCAGGTTGTCGGTTAAAATTTATTATTGCCCAATTAATAGACGGGTTTTTCTTCTTGCCGATTCTGACATATCGTGACGTTAATTGTGAGGAACTCACAAACGTTCCAAGAAATAAAAAGTGAAAAATAATGGCATAATTATATGGCATCATAAAGCCGAAAATATTACTTAAAAAATTAACCTTGTGAAGTTATAAATTATTATTATTGCATTATGTCCGAAATAATCTTTTCAAATTCTTCGAAAGATAAACTCTCCTCTCCATTAGGAAATGTCATTAATTTGAATTCTGATTGCATATCATTTTTATAAATCACCTGAGAAAAAGAAACAACTTTTTAATTATTGATTTTTAAATCAATTTGATTTATTTTGAGCCAGTTAAAAAGATTACCTTTAAGTGATAAGTGTTGTGAATTTTGTGCACCTCCAAAAGGACGCACGCGGCGTAGCGAGGAAAATGCGGGTACATTAGTCCTAATACAGTCAAGACATGTGCGACATTGCAGTCATGACCTGAGTACAAATGAATTTTGTACGTTGATTCCCCATTGATCTTCGACTGAGAGTCTTTTAGTATTTTAGAGAACATCTCTCCAACTACTAACCGTTTTAACTCGTCAGTTTTAGTCTGTAACGTATACTCCAACATTGCGACCTTTTTTATTTGCTCGTAAACGGGTGGAATCCAATGTGGAAGTTTAAAACCCCAATCTAACTAAAAAAAATAATCCAACGTTCTTATTGTGTACCATCTTAATCATAATTATTAATAATTAATACAAATTGAAGAATGATACCACCTGTTTACAACAAAATAATATGTTAAATGATGTGTTAATAAAATTAACGGAATTACCTTCGATGTAATATAACTCGGTAACGTTGCTAATTGACATAATCTAATCCCGGATTTGAATTGTATTAATTTTTTTGTTTATTATACAATAAATGATACTATATCGAACGAGAATACTAAATACTTGAATTGAGATAAAGAAATATAGGTTAATTACAAGAATCTTCCGTACAACACCCACAATTGTGTGTTGTTCTTAAGGACATCGAAACATTTAAATTAATATAATTTGCATATTTAGAGCGTTCTAATGTTTAAATTCACATTTATTTCTTTTGATCGCCGGCGACCATGACTAATAACCACGGATAACAAACGTTTCAGGAATTTAGAAATATGCGAATGGGCTTTTTAGAATTCTTTGGAAAATGGTAAACCTCGAAATATATGCAGTGACGACGGTGTTGATCTTGGCGATTATGACACAACCAAAAATGAATCAAGCAAGGATGAAAATGATTCAAATTCCCATTATGTAATATAGAACAAAACAAAATTTTAAGTTAAGGACGATGTTGGGAGATGTCAGCGCTGATGTTGGAGGATATGTATCGCTGAAACTTCAAATTAGAGAAATATTTAAATAAGAGTGTCGTTAAGATCTGTTATAAAATTCAAAGTTATACATTATGGAGATTTTGGTGTCATTTCAAACGTTTGATAATAAACTGTTCAAATTAAAATCGATTTAATAAAGACAAATATTTTTAATAAATAAAAATTATTCAAATTTGCAAAAAATACGAAGATTTTCGTAAAAATCAGATAATTCTCACCTAATTTGATGTATCACACTCTATATCTGTTATAATATCTCTCTTAAAAGCATATATAACAATTTATTAGTGTTTTGTTTTCAGCCATCTTGATTTTACAAAAATTAATATATCTTGGTTGGTATAATACTTAGATATATCGAGTTTGGACTCATTTTACCCGATTTTTAATTATCTACCTCAATTTTTACTAATCATTTCTCGCGANACATCGAGTTTGGACTCATTTGACATGATTTTTAATTATCTACCTCAATTTTTATGAATCATTTCTTTTTGACCATCTAGAATTTTATAAAATGTACAAAACCCAAAATTTTTCGAATTGCTTAATAACAAAACTTAATAAAGAATATGACCTTTTTAGAGATCATTAAATTTTAACTTAATTCGATATATCACGTTCTATATGAATTATAAATTTCATAATTACAGTTACAGATGGCGCTAATTAATAAATAGTATCGATTACATAACAATTAAGATATCCTCGATATTATAATATTTCATAATGTCGCCTTTGGTGCCATTTCACACGATTAATTATAAATTGTCAAATCATAACCAGTTTAATAAAGATAAATGTTTTTAATAAATTTAAATTATTTAAATTCGTCAAAAAGACGAAGATTTACGTAAAAATCAGAAAATTTTAACCTAATTTGATGTATCACACTCTATATCTATAATAAAATTACTCATAAAAGCATAAGTGACAATATATTAGTGTTTTGTTTTCAGCCATCTTGATTTTACAAAAATTAATATATCTTGGTTGGTATAATACTTAGATATATCGAGTTTGGACTCATTTTACACGATTTTTGGTTATCTACCTCAATTTTTATAAATCATTTATTTTCGGCAATCTTCNACTTTATATCTATTATAATATTACACTTAAAAGCATAGATAACAATTTATTAGTGTTTTGTTTTCAGCCATCTTGATTTTACAAAAATTAATATATCTTTTTTGGTATAATACTTAGATATATCGAGTTTGGACTCATTTTACACGATTTTTAATTATCTACCTCAATTTTTACAAATCATTTCTCGCGATTAATGATAACGTATCAAATCATAATCAGTTTAATAAAGAAAAGTATTTTAAAAAAAATAAAATTATTCAAGTTCGCCAAAAATACGATGATTTTCGTAAAATTTGGTATAATACTTAGATATATCGAGTTTGGACTCATTTTACACGATTTTTAATTATTATCTACCTCAATTTTTACAAATCATTTCTAGCGATTAATGATAAAGTATCAAATTATAATCGGTTTAAGAAAGAAAAGTATTTTTTAAAAAATAATATTATTGAAATTCGTCAAAAAGACGTGCATTTTCGTAAAAATCAAGAAATTTTAACCTGATTCGATATATCACACTTTATATATATTATAATATTACACTTAAAAGCATAGATAACAATTTATTAGTGTTTTGTTTTCAGCCATCTTGATTTTACAAAAATTAATATATCTTGGTTGATATAATACTTAGATACATCGAGTTTTGACTCATTTTACACGATTTTCAATTATCTACCTCAATTTTTACAAATCATTTCTCGCGATTAATGATAAAATATCAAATCATAATCAGATTAATAAAGAAAAGTATTTAAAAAAAAATAAAATTACTGAAATTCGTCAAAAAGACGTGCATTTTCGTAAAAATCAGAACATTTTAACCTAATTTGATGTATCACACTTTATATCTATTATAATATTACACTTAAAAGCATAGATAACAATTTATTAGTGTTTTGTTTTCAGCCATCTTGATTTTACAAAAATTAATATATCTTGGTTGGTATAATACTTAGATATATCGAGTTTGGACTCATTTTACACCATTTTTAATTATCTACCTCAATTTTTACAAATCATTTCTCGCGATTAATAATAAAGTATCAAATCATAATTAGTTTAATAAAGAAAAGTATTTTTAAAAGAATAAAATTATTGAAATTCGTCAAAAAGACGAAGATTTTCGTAAAAATCAGAAAATTTTAACCTAATTTGATGTGTCACACTCTATATCTATAATAAAATTACTCATAAAAGCATAAGTGACAATTTATTAGTGTTTTGTTTTCAGCCATTTTTATTTTACAAAAATTAAGATATCTTGGTTGTTATAATACTTAGATATATCGAGTTTGGACTCATTTTACACGATTTTTAATTATCTATCTCAATTTTTATAAATCATTTATTTTCGGCAATCTTGAATTTTATAAAAATCAAATTATTTCGAATAGTTAACTTCAAAAACTTCATAAAGAATATAGGCGTCGTAAAAATCATTAAATTTTAACCGAATTTGATGTATGCATTCTATATGTAATATAAATTTCATAATTAAAGTTACAGATAGCGCCAACGAATAGCTTTGATTTATAATCTTCGATATTATAATCGTTCGTTTTGTCGCCATAGGTGTCATTTCATGCGATTAATGATAAACCGCCAAATCATAATTAGTTTAAGAAAGAAAAATATTTATAAAAAATTTAAATTATTCAAATTCGTTAAAAATACGAAGATTTTCGTAAAAATCAGAAAATTTTAACCAAATTTGATGTATCACACTCTATATCTGTTATAATATTACTCTTAAAAGCATATATAACAATTTATTAGTGTTTTGTTTTCGGCCATCTTGATTTTACAAAAATGAAAATATCTTGGTTCTTATAATACTTACAAGGGAAGTGTCACAACTGTGTCTCACCGATTTCGATGCAATTTGGTACAGTCATAGAATGGGCCAAAATAAGGTTCGTACATTTTTTTATACGTGCGGTAAAAGCCCCTGGGGCGAGTTATAGGGGTTGAAAGTTTGGAGAAAAAGTACGTTTTCACTTATATTTTAAAAATGAAAAGTGCTATCAAAATTTGGTAAATTGTAACTGATATTCATTTTAAAAGAGCTTTCTTTTGATGTATCACACATATACCAGAGGGTTAAGAAGGGCGAACTACCCCTATTTTTTTGGAATTATTTAAAAACCACCCTATCGATTTTGGCGGCATTAAGTATACTTCCAGCACGTTCAAAAATATTAGTTAAGGGTTTTTTCCCATTCGCTCTAGATCATCCCCAGCGAAGTTACGGGGGTTAACATGTNTTTAATAAAGATAAATGTTTTTAATAAATTTAAATTATTTAAATTCGTCAAAAAGACGAAGATTTACGTAAAAATCAGAAAATTTTAACCTAATTTGATGTATCACACTCTATATCTATAATAAAATTACTCATAAAAGCATAAGTGACAATATATTAGTGTTTTGTTTTCAGCCATCTTGATTTTACAAAAATTAATATATCTTGGTTGGTATAATACTTAGATATATCGAGTTTGGACTCATTTTACACGATTTTTGGTTATCTACCTCAATTTTTATAAATCATTTATTTTCGGCAATCTTCAATTTTAAAAAAGTATAAAAATCAAATTATCTGAATAGTTAACTTCAAAAACTTCATAAAGAATATAGGGGTCGTGAAGATCGTTAAATATTAACCTAATTTGATGTATCACACTCTATATCTATTATAATATTACTCTTAAAAGCTTAGATAACAATTTATTAGTAGTGTTTTGTTTTCGGCCATCTTGATTTTATAAAAATTAAAATATCTTGGTTGGTATAATACTTAGATATATCGAGTTTGGACTCATTTTTCATGTTTTTAGTTATCTACCACAATTTATATGAATCATTTTATTTTCGGCAATCTTGAATTTTATAATAAGTGTAAAAATCAAATTAACTAATAGTTAACTGCAAAAACTTTATAAAGAATATAGGCGTCGCATCGTAAAGATCGTTAAATTTTAACCTAATTTAACCCAACAACTCTAGAGTACTAACACACAGCTTATCAAAATGTTCAAATAGATAGAGATGAGCCAGTAATTAGTTGGTCCAAGGTAGTAGTCTACCTTGGATGAAACATGGGCATTATAACACCTTTTATTGATAGTTTTATTTCGTTTATTACTTTAATTTGTTGTTTAACGTTTTAATATTTATTTATCTAAATGGATATAGGCCTTAAG